TCCCGCACTGAGGCTCCTTCCTATCTGATGACTCCAGCTTGTGTGTTGACACACAAAACCACGTGGTACACATGTTAAGCCGAAGAGAGATGGTGGGCAGTTCAGAGAACTAGGTGCTTTATCCTGGGGACCATGGTCTGGACCCCAGCAGTGATACTGGGCAGCTCACCAATGCCTGTAAGTATAACTCCAAGGGACGGATGCCCTTCTGTGGCCTCTGTGGACACCTACAGACTTATGCACGCACATACAGATAACGAACTTTTTTTTTTTTTAATGTTTTATTATTTCTACAGTGTTCTGCCTGCATGTACACCTGCAGGCCAGAAGAGGGCATCAGATCTCATTACAGATGGTTGTGAGCCACCATGTGGTTGCTGGGAATTGAACTCAGGACCTTTGGAAGAGCAGTCAGTGCTCTTAACCTCTGAGCTATCTCTCCAGCCCCCTAAACTTTTTGTTGTTGTTGTTGTTTGTTTTTTTAAGACAGGGTTTCTCTGTGTAACTACTCTAGCTGTATGTAGACCAGGCTGGCCTCGAACTCACAAGAGATTTCCTCCTGACTGCTGGGACTATAGGCAAATGCCACTACCGCTCGGCTAACACTTTTTTTTTTTTTTTAAAGGATGTATGTTAGCTTCATGTACTGGTGAATGCCAAAAAAACAAACAAATCAAAACAAAACAAGAACAACAAATTCTCTTAAGGCAGGAGGATAGCTGCAAGTCTGAGGCCAGTCTAGATTACAGTTTACTCCAGGTCATCATACCCTGCAAGATCCTGTCTCAAAAATAACAGCAATACACACTATGAGCAAATTCTTTAAGGTTGGGTCCTTAAGTCACTTCTCCCAGGTTTCCCACCGTGTGGGTGCAAGGACCCAATGATGGGCAAGGCAGGCAAGATTCTGTGCTCAGGGTAGCGACTCTGGGGAGGCTGGAAGGCAGGGCAAGGTGTGGCAGAGCACATCAGGCACACAGAGAGGTGCTCCAACACGAAACGGGGGAGGAGTCGTCAGGAAAGGATTTCGGTCGACGACTTAGAAGGAACTCTAAGGGGTGCAAGCAGGTCCTCCCTCCCTCGTCCCGGGAGCACACAGGGGCCGAGGCCGGGGAAGAGTATGCTACCCGGTCACCGGGTCTCCTGCCCGCCCAGCTCGGCGCCGTCGCCCGTACCTGTCTCCTTCACGAAATACTCCCGATACGTCCGCCACCAGTGCGGGGCCCGCGCCTCCTGCTCCGCCCGGCGGCGGTACCGCTCGAAGCTCCGGTACTTCTCCAGCCGCTCTAGGTTGCTCACGTCAATGTCCTCGTTGGGCATAGGTCCGAGAGGGGGCGTCCGGCGGCGGAGGGGCGCTGCGGGCAGAGACGGGGGTGTCACGCCGGCTCCAGGCCCCGGCTGAAGCCGAGGGCTGGGGCTGCAGGACCCCAAGAGCTCCCTAAGCCCACACCACTCACCCGAGGTGCTGAAGCCCCGGCATCTCCTGCTCGCCAACAACCCGGCACGCCACCAGGGCGCCGCCATCTTCCCCCAGGACGCCAGAGACGCCCGTAGGACCCAGACAGAGGTGGCCAGCGAGAAGCCTGCGCGTCCCGCTGGAGGCTCCGCCCCGCTCGGGCCAGCTCCGCCTCTCGGAAGGCTCCGCCCTATGGATTCTATCTCCAGACTTAATTTTGAAAGCTCGGGGACCTTTCCCAGGGCGACAAGGCTACAAACTGCACTTGGGCTGAGAGTTGCCACGAGGCAGTAGCACGGACTTATAGCTCCAAGAACAACTATGGGTTTTGACTCGGGAGATCCCATGACAAAGGGATTGGTGGGGAGGATTCTGGAGTCAGAGTTGGAAATAAGACAGGTGATAACAGCGCTCACTTCCTAGGTCTGTTAGTCAAGTCCAGGCTGATGGCGATCAGTTGCTTTACTAGCAGCTGTGCGACCCTCCAGCTCACGCTGAAATGTAATGGGGTCTCTACATCCAGCATAAACGACCACATCTTAGATTTCATTACTTCCAGATAGCTAAACCTCGCTCATCACTTTTGTACATAAAAAACCTTATTTATTTATTTATTTATTTATTTATTTATTTATTTTCCCAGGTGTAGTTCCCCTTCCCTCCTCTCCTCCCACCCCCTTCTGTTCCCACCTCCCAGTCCACGTCCCCTGTTTCTGTTCAGCGACCTAGGCACTCTTCATGTGTTACAGTTGTATAGCTAGGTCCTCTTGTGGGACTCCTATCAGTGGGAGCAGGGGCTGTCTCCAACTCTTACTAGGTTTTCAGACCTTCCTCCTCATACTGGGTCACCTTGCCCAGCCTTAACAGGGAGGTGCTTAGTCTTACTGCAGCTTGATGTGCCGTGTTTTCTTGGTACTCACCATCACTTCCAATTCCTCCAACAGCGAGCGAGCACCTGCTGTCCGGCAAGTGTTGGCTCTCACAGGTCAGGGACACCAGTCTTGCCCGGAGGAGTTGATACTTATGGAACAGTTCCTGCCGAGTGTTAGGGGAACCGAAGGCATCCTGCAGGATGTTTAGAAGATCTCACTTGCTGTACTCAAGCCTCTAAGCTCCCTTCTCTGCCCTTGTACGGCTGAAGACACAGAGGATCTCCAGGAAGGGTGGAGGCTCACTGCTCACTCAGGCGGCCTGTTCTTCACTCTCATTCTGCCTGTCTGGGAAGCTCTGAAGAATGGGGCTTTGGATTTCAACTGTTTGAGAGGCCAAGTGTGAATTCATACATTCTGACTAGAAGCAACAGCTCCAACAATATTAAATTTAAATGAGTTAGGGTTTTGTTATGTGTCCCTACCTACCTTGGCACTTATTTTGTAGTCGGGCTAGCCATGAACTCATGGCAATCTTTTTTTCCCCCGAGACAGGGTTTCTCTGTGTAGCCTTGGCTGTCCTGGAACTCGCTCTGTAGACCAGGCTGGACTCTATCTCCCAAGTTCTGGGATTAAAGGTGATAAAGGCCTTACCACAGCCCAGCTTCATAACAATCCTCTTACAGCAGTCTTCTGAATGCTGGGATGACAGGCATGTGGGCACCACTCATCTGAGTGATGCTGCCATCATGTCAGGCTGTCAGAGATTTGGGCTCCTCATCACGACTTCCTTTCTGATACATGTCCAGGTCCCTAGGAGCACAGTAAGGTGCAGCTCTATCCTCTGTCCCTTCCCGTGCACTGCACACACATAGACACACACACACACACACACACACACGCTTCTTGTATTCACTCCTGTCCCCTCTTGTCTTTTTTTTTTTTTTTTGGTTTCTCTGTGGCTTTGGAGCCTGTCCTGGAACTAGCTCTGTAGACCAGGCTGGTCTTGAACTCACGGAGATCCACCTGCCTCCGCCTCCCGAGTGCTGTGATTAAAGGCGTGCGCCACCATTGCCTGGCTCCCTCTTGTCTTTTGTAGCTCACAGACACGACTGGTTTTCAAATATGTGAACGTGGGGCCGGAGAGATGATTCCGCTGTTGGGTGAGAGTGCAGGCTATTGTTCCAGAGGACCTGGTTAGGTTCCAGCACCCACACTGGTGGCTCCCGACTGCCTGTAGGGGACCCAATGTCCTTCTGGCACCCACACATTTTAGAAATGCAGAAGTCCTTCATAAAGCTTCAGTGAGTAGTGGTTACCCCGATAAGCTCAAACTTGTCAAGATCTTATGTTCGTGGCTGTTTCGCCTGCATGTATGTCTGCATGCCATGTGTATGCTTGATGCCACATGGGTTAGCAGAGGGCACTGGATATCCTGGAGCTGGAGATACAGAGGGTTGGGAACTGCCACGTGGGTGCTAGAAATGGAACTGAGGACCTCTACAAGAACAGCAAGTGTTCTTAACCATGGAACCATCTCTTTTATTCTTTTTAGAGACAAAGTCTTTCAGTGTAGCCCAGACTCCTAGAGCTCACAAGCCTGCAGTCAACTTCCTGAGTGCTGGGAGTACAGGTGTTTACCACCACAGCCAGCCACGTGAGAGTCCTGAACAAGGTAACAGTAGGCTGCCTTCACCTGCTAAGTCTCAGCTTGCTTCACTACTTAGGAAGACCAGGGTGTTTGGGACTCTCATTGTAGCGCCTTCCTTCCCATGTGCTGGAAGTCGCCCACTTTCCCTTCAGGTGGTGACAAACAAAAATGCAAGGTGGCCCCGTACATGCCAGCTGATTGCCCATCTTTAGATCCACAACTCTCCACGCAGGTTTGACTCACGACTGTTTATGTGTTGAGAGCACTGAGTCCCAGGCTCGTTTAGTCCTTCTGGGCACCAGCTAGAGCAGCAGCATCACACCTGCCCCATGTGTCACATCCTCTTCCCCTATGGGAACTCAAGCCCAGGCCCTGCTACTTGTCATCCTGTGCAAGGGTTTGCAATCCCCAAGTGTCCTCTTCCACCCTTGAGGCACAGGTCATGAATTACTCCCTTCCAGGTATCCCGAAGGCCAGCAGGTGCCAGAGGAAAGGGTATAATATGGTCATAGAAGTCTGTGCCTGGCCACTTTAGGTCAGCCTTTTGCAGGACTACCTGCCTCTTCTGTTTTCCAAAATAATAGCAGCATAAAGCACACACTGAACTTCATTCTCTTTTTTCTGAGAAAGGGTCTCTCTACACACCCCTGGCTGGTCTAGAACTTGCTCTGTAGATCAGACTGGCCTCCAACTCAGAGACCCACCTGCCTCTACCTCCTGAGTGCTCCATTAAAGGTGTGCCACCACTTATTCTGCAGTCAGCTGACCCGGCTTGGAAGGTTCTGTAGCTCAGACTTAATCTCAAATTTAAGGCAATCCCACTTCTTCAGTCACTTGAGTGCAGAGATTACACATGTGAGCCACAACTGGCCAGGGCAAACATTCTAATAACTAAGGACACGTTCCAGTGGGTCCTAGCAACATATGGATGGGCTTCAAGGGCAACTAAGGGGAAGAACATTTATTTACCCACCATGTGTACAGCCCCAGGTTCGGTCCCCAGCAATGCAAAAACAAAACAGAATCGCAAAGAATAGAGCAGTTTAATGGGCCCAAGAGAATTAGGTTCCTTTGAGAATAGCTCTGGGGAGCACAGGCAGACTCTGGCTCACCCTCTCGCACCTTCCTCCTCTGCCCCTGCTCCTGTGGGCATACCTTCATGTGTCTCCTCTGCTCTTGTGATCACACCTTTATGTGTCTCCTCTGCCCCTGCGAACACACCTTCACGTGTCCCTCCTCTGCCCCTGTGAACACAGCTTCATGTGTCTCCTCTGCCCCTGTGAACACAGCTTCATGTGTCTCCTCTGCCCCTGCTCTTGTGGGCACACCTGCTCAGGGTGGAAAGCGAGGAGCACCCCTGAATGCAAGCTGCTGTATTAACAACTGTGGTTTCTTTCTGAGTCCTTCTGTCCTGGTCTGCCAGATCATTTCTCCTCCCCTGCCAACTCCTGATACCCTGCTTGGCATACCAGAGACTGGAGGAGCAGCAGCAGCTCAGCTGTGTGGTCCCTCACAGGCCCCAGGGGTACCTTATTTCCAGGCAGAGGCTCCAACTCCCAAAATCTTCCTCCCTCCTCTGCTTCTCCATATACCCTCGGGTCTACAGCTCCCCACGCCCACCTCTGGTAGAGACTTGGATGGGAGGAAGGAGCTAGTGTGTTCATGTTGAGTTGGCTGGTTACCAGGGAGTAATGGGAATGAGATGGGGCTCAGAGGCCCTTCTCCCTGTTCCCTAGTGGGAAGGGACCTCTCAGTCAGGGAGAAATAGATGACTATGCATGGTGTCCCACTCTAGTGCCCTGAGAAAAGCCCAGGCATGAGAATCTCCAGTGGCTGCCCCGTAGAAGGGGGTGATGAGCTGGGGCCTTACTATGGGACAGGAGTGGGCGATTGGTGGTAAGAAGGCCTTGATGTCATTGCTCCCTTGGGGAGGCACCTGCTGCCTCTTAGCTGGGAAGAACACACAGATACTCTGTCCACACAGAAAGCTGTAATCAGGCTCTGGGTAGTGCGCCACCTTCCTAGGAGCCTCCTCCGGGGAGGGGGAGCTCTGGGTCGGGCTGGCTGAGGAGGCGTTGGCTATCATCAGGCAGAATGGTATGCCATGTTGTAGGGCGCCTTCTTCAGAGTTTCCAGGAAGAACTGTTCATTCTCCAAGAAGTCGTGGTCCTGTGAGGCAGGCAGATTCAGGTAAGTGCTCACACTTCTGTGCCCTGACAGGGTACTCCTGACCCTGGAGAGCCAGCCTGCGCTGAGGAACTCCCTGCACTGGGGAGCAGTGGGGGTACGTGGGAGCTCAGGCATGGAATGAGACAGGCCATGATGTCAGTCCTGGCAAGGACTTGAGAGTCTTGGAATTTATCAGCAGTGACCTCATGTCTCTAGGCCAGTGTCTTCATCTACAAACTGATAAGATTGTCTCAAAGCTGGGCATGCTGGCTCACATCTGTAGTTCCAGCAATGGAAGGAGGACCGCATGCAAATCCAAGGCTAGCCTGGGCTACAGAGAGAGACCCCATCTCAACAAAACAAGCAAACAAAAAGCAAACAGGAAGGAAAATGTTAAGGCTATGGCTCTGCAGGGCTGTGAGGAAGGCAAGCTCACGATGCACATGCAGTCTTCGGCCTGAGCACTCCATGTGGGACCTGCGCCTTGAGTGGCCGCCATTGCCACTGATGTCAAAGGTTATTTGCAGGTTAAGAGGGTATTGTTGACCTCTTGTGCCTAGAAGGGTCTTAGCTATGTAGGCAGTTTGCCGCCTCTTGTCTTTTTTTTCCTCCTGGCAGATTTTCATTGTGTAGCCCTGGCTGGTCTAGAACTTCCTATGTAGATCAAACTGGCCTTGAACTCAGATATCTACCTGTCTCTGCCTCCCAAGTGCTGGGGTGAAAGTTGCAGGCTCTGTATTTTTTTTTTTTCTCTGATTTTTTTGAGACAGGGTTTCTCTCTGTGTAACCTGGCTGTCCTGGAACTCACTTTGTAGACGAGGCTGGCCTCAAACTCAGAGATCCACCTGCCTCCCAAGTGCTGGATTAAAGGTGTGTCCCACCATCACCTGGCTCAAAACCAATTTTAACAGGGGGTATTACTGGGGATTGAACCAGGGCACTGTACAAGTTAGACAAGTATTCTACCATTTAACAAATCCCCAGTCCTAGTGGTCTATTCTTCCCCTTTATGAGTAGGGGCCAGACCTCCTTAGGGCCTTGGAGGGACAGTCCGTTATAAATGTGTGTGCGAGAACCCGAGCCCAGCGGCACTCACCTGCTCTGCTGTGTGCTTCAGCAGCAGCAGCTTGGCAAGAAGGTGTGTGGGCACTGAGGCAGCAGGTATCTGGCTATGCTGAGGAATGGTGAGAGCAGGGGCCTGGATGGCTGACGAGAAAGGCAGGAGCCAATGTCAGGGAGAAAACTGAGAGGCCTGGTTTTTCCTGCAGGACCCACACTGCATACACGGGAAGAGCCTGGCCCATGTCCTGGAGACTCTGGAAAACCCAGGTTCCAGTCATAGCACGCACATGGCAGCTCCCAGGCATTTGTAACTCCAGTTCCAGGGGATCTGATGCCTTCCTCCAGTACAGAACATCCCCCACAACATTCTTTAAAAAGGACAAGGCACACTGTGCTGGAGCAGACTCCTGGTAACCTCCTGTGGGCTCTACAGATGCATGGGTGCACAGACCCACGTACAAAAGAACAAGGAAGAAAGAAGACTTGGAGCCTGTGGTGGCAGAGAAATCCTAACAAGGGGTAGCAGAGGGAGGAGGAATAAAGCCTGCCTGGTCTACAAGGTCAGACTCCACAGAAACAAAAACAAACAAATAACAACAGCAAAAAAGTGTGGTGGCTCATTAATCCCAGTACCAAGAAACACAGGTAGGAGAATTTCTAACTGTGAATTCAAGGCCAGCCTTGTCTACTTAGTGAGTTCCAGGAGAGCCAGGGCTACATACTGTCTCGAAACAAAACCAGAAACAACAAAACTCCCCTCAAAAAGGAAAACAAAGCTGGTGGTGCATACCTTTATCCCAGCATTTGGGAGGCAGAGGCAGGCGGATCTCTGTGAGTTCGAGGCCAGCCTGGTCTACCAAGCGAGTTCCAGGACAGCCAAAGCTACACAAAGAAACCCTGTCTTGAAAAACAAAATAAAACAAAAATAAACAAAAAGAAAATATAAAGGGGGTGGGGCTAGAGAGATACTCAATAGCTCAACAGTAGACACACCTATAATCTAACATTCAGGATGCTGAGGCAGGAAGATCTGAGTTTGAACTCAGCCTGGGCTCCAAAGTAAGACCCTGTCTTCAAATAAATAGCTTCAAGTAGCCGCTAGTGAGCGGCTAGAGGAGGTCCTGCCACTACTCCTCCCACTGTGTCCCATCTTCCTGGAGTCACTTACCATCCATGCTGGCCACTGCAGGGCCCTGAACTGTGGAGCGCAGCCCTGGAAGGCTGGAGGGCACATCTTGCCGCACACGGTCCAGCTGCAGCCTCTGCTGCGCCAGGCTCAGATGCTCCTGCGCCCAACCCCCAAAAGATGGACTCAGTGAGAAGGACAGGCAGGTGGGACCGAGGGACAGAAGAGTGGGAACTGGAACCTTGCCTGGTGCATACGCTGCTCCTGCTGCCGCAGCCATTCCTGCTGCCGCTGAACTGCCTGCAGCCGGCCCTGCTGCTCAGACTGCATCTGCTGGGCCTCCTGCAGGGCCTGCTCACCCTCCTCATACCTCTTGGAGGCCACCTGCAGGGAGACCATGGGTCAGGGCTAGCTAGAATCACATGGCGGCTCATCCCACAGCCCTTCCAAGACACACCTTGCTCATGTGTTCCAGCTCCTGTGCACGGGCCTGGAGTCGCAGGCTGGCCTTGTGTAACCTGTCCTTCTCCAGCCGAAGCTCCTGGCGCTCTCTCTCCAAAGCCTCTCTCTCAGCAGCCAGCTTTTCCTCCTTGGCCCGGAGCTCACAGGCCCTGACTGTCAGCTCTGCCTGCTCCTGAGAAGGTGGAATCAATGCTGAGGTCCCCCATCCAGAGCTACACCAGGCTCCAGACAGCCCTTGGGGACTCCTTCCCCCTCACCTCTGGCAGTGGACAATAGAGCGGGGCTTCTTGGACATGGATCAGAGAAGCCTGAAGCCCAGTTTGGGGGGCCCCCACACAAGTCAAGTAAATTCAGTATGTCCAGTGTCTCTACTATCACTTTCCTCACTTACATATCTGAGTCAAAGGAACCGACTAGCAAGTAAGACAAATATGCACAGTGCCTTAGAAAAGGAAGTTACCCGGGGTGCTGACTGCTGCTCCAGTTTCTTGCCATGTCCAGCTGTGTGCTCTTATTTCTTAGGCCCGGGATTATTTGCACACAGCTGGAAGGCAGGGCCAGAGGCTCTGAGCCCTACCTTGGTCAGGCTGATGATGGTGCCCTCCCTCTGGGAGTCCGCATGGAGCGCCCTCTCAGCCTCGCGCTCGGCCCGTTCCTTACTCAGCTTCTGCTGTGTGAAATACTCAGCCCACTCTGCTGCAAGGCGCCGGCGCTCCTCCCCACACTTGTTCATGACTGACTTCTGCTCCTCTAGCAAGGCACTCTGCGTGGGGGCAGGAGGGGAGTGTGAGTGTCCTCAGGCAGGAATGGTGGGGTCAACAGCTGAGGGTGGAGCTGGACTCACCTTGGCTCTCTCCAGCTCCTCCCTCTCCATGGAGAGTTGCTGGACCATGACCTTCCTCTGCTCCTCCAGGCTGCGCTGTGCAGACTCTGCCTTGGACTTCTCAGCAGCCACCCGCCAGCGTTCCTGCAAGGCCCAGGACAGAGCTGAGGGTTGGCTCCCTACTCTAGGAGCAGGCCAGACTGTTCCAAAAGAGTTGGGCAAATCTGGCTTCTCTCAGGCTAAGTCATAAACCCCTCATTTCCAAAGAAACACGAAGTGACAGGTGCTTGGGAGGTACTGCCCTGGTCCAGTTCCTGCAGTTCTGAGTTAGGAGGCTCCAGTACTCAGGTCAGACTGTACCACAGGGAAGGTTCAGGAGTGCCCTGCCCTGAACCGCCAGGTCTGACCCATTACCTATCAGTCACACATGTTGGGAACCCACCGTTTCTGTAAGCGTGAGGGGAGAAGCTCAGCAAGTTTAGTCTTCCTTAAAGACTAAAGCGTAGGGACTAGAACCATGGCTCAGCAGTTAAGAGCACTGACTGCTCTTCCAGGGGACTGGTCAGTTCCCAGTACCCCAGAACGGCTCACAACCATCTGTAACTTCAGTTCCAGAGGATATGATGTTCTCTTCTGGCCTCCAAAGGCAAAACACGCACACACATTAAAAATGAAACAAAACAGCTAGGTGGTGGTGGCGCACGCCTTTAATCCCAGCAGAGGCAGGCGGATCTCTGTGAGTTCGAGGCCAGTCTGGTCTACAAGAGCTAGTTCCAGGACAGGAACCAAAAAGCTACGGAGAAACCCTGTCTTGAAAATAAAAAAAAAAAAAAAAAAGGAGGCCCAAGCTCACTTTCATCTATAAATGACATGTAGGGTTGTCACATAAGGCGTTAACTGACATTTAGTCAAGAGTAGCCATCCCAGTGTCACAGGGGTGATGTGACAGATCTGAGTGACAGGAGGAAGAGAAGTACAGTGATAATAGAGGGCTCTGCAGGGTGGCTTGACGAGCAGGTGTTGGGGGACCCAGCGTAGGGCTGAACACAGAAGAGGAAGAGACAGGAAGAACAAGATTGGCCCCTGCCGGCCTGAGTGGAGGAGAGAATGGCTGTGCATGGGTTTGACCCATGGGCTAGAGTCAAATCAGAGTGGCTGAGATCACAGGCGGCCCTGGTCTGAAGACTTCCTGCACACCAGGACAGCCTCACCTGTTCCAGGAGCCGGCTCTGCTCACTCAGGCGCACCTCCATCTTCCCAATGACCTCCTGGAGTCGGCTGCGCTCTTCCTCCATGTCTCGCTGCTGCCGGCCCAGCCGCTCCTGCAGAGCTGGGGGCAATACACAGGGTGCTCACTGACTGCCGTCCTTCCTAACATGGGGGTCTCAGTTACAGAGAGGGGCTACCTCGCAACTGCTCATCTTGCTGCCGGATCCCCAGCTCCCGTTCCTGTGAAGTGGTGAGGTGTGAGGCCTCCACGCGGGAGGACAGCACATTCAAGCTGCTGGAAAATTTCTCCATCTGCTCAATGATGCCATTCAGGGACCTGAAGGATTATCAGGGCATCTCATCCCGGGCACGCCCAGGACACCAGGCCCAACCAATCCCTTGGGCAAGCAGCACCAGGTAGCACACATACCGAGTATGGGAGGTGGCACTGGTGACAGCATCGATCTCTTGGTCCTTCAGCATCTTTAACCTCTGCAATTGGTGCTCGTGGTCCTTGCGCATCTCCAGAATGGATGCCCTGAGGGGACGACAACAGAGGCCAGGAAGGCCAAGGATCACTGTGAGCAGGGCCACAGATGACACCAGAGACTATGAAAGGAACATGCCTTTGAGCACCATCTCCTCCTCTTCCTCCTTCAGGCAGAGCCTCAGAGCCTCAGTTTCCTGGCTCTTCTGTCTCATCTCTCATGGCTTCCATGCCACGTGCACATCCACCCTGCTGCTCAGCAAAGGATCCCTTTCTCAGCATAGGAGGAAGCTATGTGCCTAGCCCTCTGTGCTCGCCCATGGGCTGCTCTGCCCTCCAGAGTCTTTTCTTAGCTCCATTCCCATCCAGAGAGGCTCAGTGCATGACTTTTCAGACCCCCCCATTCCAGCAGAGTGGGTGGAACCCTACCCATGAGAGGCAATGGGTTGGTGTGCTCAGCCTTGAGCCTCCATCTCAATGGGCCGAAGGGAAGGGCAAGCTTATGCACAGGCTGTAGAGCCACACTGTGGTCTCCTGGGCACTGCTGTCAGCCGGCCAATCCTCATAAGCCTACTCCCCAGCCCCTGCCCATCCTCTTGTCAGTCCTGCAAGGCCACTCCCTAGTCTCCTTACTGCTGCAGCTCCCGAAGTCGTGCCACCTCCTGGTCCTTCTCCTGTGCAGCCAGGGCCAATTGCCGCTGGTGCTGAGCTATGAGCTCAGCCCTGGCCTGCTCAGCTTCCCGGCAGTATGACACATGCTGAGTTGACAGCGCCTCCTTCTCTCTGCGGAGCTGCTCCTCCCGCTGCTGGTAGGATGCTTCTAGTACCTTGACTCGGCTTCTGTCAACAGAACACCCACCTAAAGTAAAGGGTCTCACGGAGCACACTGACATGATCCTGGGGCTCAGGGAGATCTGAACATGAGCTAGGCAGTCCCCAAGACTGGAGACAGCGGATACCTGTGCGCATCTTCAATGAGCTCCAGGTCGGCCTGGTGCCGCTGCTGCAAACTCTCCAGCAGCATGCTGTGCTGGGTCCGCTCCAGCTCCAACTTCCGCACCTGGGCATGGGTGAAGCGAGGGCGGTAGGGACCTTCAAGCAGCCAATTCCACATTTTGTGCATTCAGTCCCTCCTCCCTCCTGGTGATGCCTCCAACTGCTTCCCAGGACAGTGGCCCTCACTGCCCTGCAGCTCTCACCTGGGCCTCCAGCTCGGCCAGCTTGGTCTGGCTCTGCAGCAGCTCAACCTGAAGCTGGGCAGTGCTGCTTGGGAACTGCCCTTGGGCAGCCAGGAGTTGCTTCTGGTATCCTGAGCCTGGCAGCAGACTTTGTATCACAGACTCCGGGAGCATGGGCTGTGGGAGAGGATAAGAGCTGTTCCAACCAGAAGCTGACAGGCCTCTTGCTGAGCTCCTCCGCCTCCACACCCGGACTCTTGGCCATCCTTTAAGGTAGCTAGAGACCAGAGTTCTAGCAGAACAGGATCTTGGCGAGTTCTAGGCCTTGGCCTTGCAAGGAAGTCATCAGAGCTCTGGTCAGCAAACAGAGCAGCCTCCCTCCCCAAGGACATCCTCCTCAGTGAGGAGCCATCGCTAGCCTGAGAGAAACAAATGGCTCAGTTATGACAGAAGCTTCTAACCCAGCCCTTTAGGTCAGGCCAATAGGCCTAGGTGACAGTTGGTTGCAGTCAGGTCCCTTCAGGGACTTACTCCTGGCTGTCCTACCTCCCAGGCCCAGTGATGCAGCAGGAAGATGCATAGATGGGGATGTCTTCCAGTGCAACAACAGGACAGCTGTAGTCAGGAGCTGGCCTGCCTGAACTATAGCCCAGGCCTGACCTCAAACTTGATTTTCTACCTCAGTCTTCTAGTCCAGGTGTTTGTGTGAGACGGAACATGGTGGTGCTTTGAGTGATATTGTCCCCATAGGCTCATGTTTGAATGCCCGGTCCCTGCTCAGTGGAACTGTTTGGGAAGGATTCAGGTATGGCCTTGTTGGAGTAGATGTGACCTTGTTGAAGGAGATAGGTCACTAGAGGTGGGCTTTGAAGCCCATGCCAGGCCCAGCATCTCTTTCTCTGGTTCTGCTGCCTAAGGATCAGAATGTAACAGTAGCTAAGACTACATTCTTTTCTCTCTCTCTCTCTTTTTTTTTTCCAGTACTGGGGACTGAACCCTGGGTATTGCACACGCCAGGCAAGCTTCCTCTAGAGAGCAACCCTCACCCCTCTTGAATCCAGGATGGGTTGGAACTCACTATGAAGCTTTAGGTCAACCTCAGACATGTGGTACTCTTCCTGTCTCAGCCTCCTGAGTACAATTGAGTACAATGCCAAGTCTGTACTAATGCCTTCTTGGGAACATCCCAAGCTGCTCCTGCACAGCAGCCAGCTCCAGCTCCCTACTGATGCTGGCAGTTACAGCCACCTCCACTCAGGAGCAGAGAGGCTAAAAGTCCAGGAAGGGCTAATGAGGGACACCAGAGCAAGTGGGCAATGGCCTACTGGATATACAGGATATATTCTAGCAGAATGTCAAAGTCCAGTTCCTGGAGCAGGGGAGAATTGTTCTCTGGGCCCAAGATCTATACCTGTTTGTCCACCTTCCCTACCTGGACAGGCACAGAAAGCCCCGTGTGGTCCTGGGAATGTGGAACATAAACTGCAGGCTCTGAAAATTTGACAACAGAGAAAAGAGAAGAAGGTTCAGAGAACTGTGGAGCCAGGGGCATCTGGGAAGAGTCCCTGTCACTCATCTTCCAGAGTCCCCAAAGGAGCTCAAGGTACCTCTTCCTCACCCACGGCTAAACTCCAAAGAAGGAAACAAACCTCTGCTGGAGAAGTCCCCAGAGGCAGAGGCCATTCCCGTCTTGGGATCACCTACAGGAAGGACAGTAGTGGCTGGGCTCCAACTCATGGCGGATCTGGGGACAAAGATGAGGGCACATTGATCGGCTTCTGTGTCCAACAGAAGTAGAGAAGGGGAAGCAAAGAAAAACACTGGATTCAGATACTAGGTGAAAAGGTCTCAGGGCTGGTACTCTACTGGACCGAAGGATCGGCTGCACTGGTGGCTTGGTAAAGGAGGTGGTATGTGCCCTCAGACATCTCTGTCATCTAGGCATAGACGCGGAACACGACAGTCAGCAAGCCACCTTGGGTCCCAGCACAGTCATCATCTATCCAGGAAAGGAGGCCTGGGCTGGCCCCGTTACCCTCACGCCTTCCCGGCCCTGTCTCTGGACATACCCTGTGATGCCAGGCCTGACAGCTGTGATCCCTTGTGTAGCTGCTCCCGAGGCTTCTCCAGCAGCGGCCTGCTCAAGGGCCTGAGTGCTCGCAACAGGTTGGCTGAGGAAAGTCCATATTAAAGGTAAAGGCTCATGGTGAGCTACAGGAAGACAGCCCCAGACATGCCCCAGACATGAAGCTTACAGCAGTCTTCTCCTGCCTCTTGGACTGTGTTCTAGGCTGGGCTCCTGGAGTTTGTGGCCTGCTGCCCACCTCGGCATCCATTAATCACAGCACCCAGGGGCACGTCACACACACTGGAGCTGAGTTCAAGCTCAACTGCTGCATCTTTCATTTCTTTTTGTTCAGTCTTGGACTCTAGTGCGGCTCAACCGCCCCTCCCCACAGCTAACCCTCGGATCACTCTCTTCTATTAGCTCCTCTTCTTCCTTGGCTCTCTCTTCAATCTCCGGTCACTGTCAAAACTGCTCTCCCCCAACACACCAGCTCTAGGATGTCTAGGACACGGTGGTGGTGTCCCAAGACTCTCACAAAGTCACACAATCTCCCCCGCCTGGTTCTGGTCGCAAGGTTTGTCACTGTTTCCTCTGGACTTGGCCTTGTTGGCCCCTTTCCCTTCCCACCTACAGGGGTCACTCACTCCCTAGCCTCACTCAACAGCCATTCTATCGTTCTCAGGAGCTGCCTCTCAGCTTCCACATTTACTCGAACGCTTCCAAGAAGATACAGGAAGCTCAATTCATACACGCATTAGCCACTTTTAACGAGCTGACAGAAACACCTACATTTGGCACAGTGGGTTTCTTTGTCAGTTTGACTGGTACTGTGGACAAGGCTGTGGCTCAGACAAACAGACAGTGAATCCTGCTACCTCAAAACATCCTCTGTCCCCACCGCAGTCAGGGCATGGGTGTCACCAGCACCTGGGCAGCAAAGCGGAGCTGGCATCAGTGCCCACAACAGTATCCTCTAACAGGTAAGGTGGGCAAAGCTAGCCCCTCAGCCTTGCCAAATCCTTTCCACCAACCGTGGTGGCCCATGCCCATACCTGCTAGAAGGGGTCTGACCCGATGATCCAAATGAGTTCAGGCCCTTAGAGGGTGCAGCATGCTCCTCTCTGGCTAGACCGTGGGATTTCTTCTGAGAAATGACATGGCTCAGCCAGTCGTCGTCCTTCTCCTCAGAGGTTTTCGGTGAGGCCTGACTGGCTTTGGGAGAGGGCCTTACACCCTTGGCTGCTGACTTTGCGGTTGAGGGCAGTCCAGCTGGCACAGAGTGTGGCTCTGGGGCTGAGTGCTGGTTTGTAGTGGGGGGTAGAGAGGGTGTCAAAATGGCTGAGTCTTCTTGTTGAGCCTTTTGAACAGGAGAGGGATCCGGCAGGGCCAGGTCATCATCCTTAAGGCCTAACCAGTCGGCTCCTCCTCTCCTGGGGTGGATGGGGCTGGAAGCAGGGGGAGGGCTCTGTTTGAAGCTAGGTTCTCCCTTAAGGTCTGAGCCACCTTCTCCCAAGAACCTGCTTCAAAACAGAAAAGAGAGTGTTAGACAGGGGAGGAAGTCCAGCCCATTACCCCATTAGCCCCCATACGAGCTTTACTCTTTGCTGTTGAGGGGGCGCATATCTGGCCCATAGCAAACTGGGCTTAGTGGTTCACACTCGTAATCCCAGCACTCAGGAGGCCGAGGCAGGACTGCTGTAAGTGAAAACCTAGCCTGTGCTACGACTGTGTCAGAACGGTGTGAACAACAGTGAACATCCCACAGCAGCTGGAGATGAGGCTCAACTGGCAGACCACAGGTCTAGCATATACTAAGCTCATCTGTACTGACAGCCGACCAGGATGGAGGCGTACACCTGTTGTCCCAGCATTCTGCCCAGTGAAGGCAGGAGGATAAAGTCAATGTCATCCTTGATTACACAGGAGTTAGAGGCCAGTCTGTCTCAACAACAAAAAGGGCTAGAGAGACAGGTTGGTTGTCATATAAGCATGAGGACTTGAGCTCCAGAGGATCTGACATCCTCCTATGGCCTCCTGAAGCACCAGGTACATGCATAGTGCACAGACATATATGCAGACAAAACATTCACACACACACACACACACACACACACACACACACACACACACAAACAAATCCTTTTAAAACAAAAACATATACTTGGAGAAAGATTACAAATTCCAGAAAGTTGGTTGCTGGTCTATTTCTGCTGCAAATGAGGAGTGTGTGCTATGAGGACAAAGCCAAAGGCAGGGTTCCTGGAAGGCAAGGAGGAGCCCCACTGCTGACTCAGGGTGGTGGTTGTACTAGTCCTTGGGCTGTGACAAAACAGCCTTTCACGATACTCAGGGTGTCAGCAGAAGCAAGCCCACCTCCTCCTTCCCTGCTGAGGAGCTCAGGGCTCAGGGCAGCCAGTCCACTCAATGCCCACACTTGGGCGTTCCTAGCTTCCCTCTCCCCTTGGCACCTGCAGACTCATGTCCGTTGGGTGGATGGGGAAGGCTACAGGGACAGGCCTGTGCCCGAGGCTGACCTCCCTGAGTCTTCACTTACCTGACCGACTGTCGGCGAGACTGCCTGCCTTCAGAGGAGGCTACAGTGGGCTGGTAAGCCCCAAAGGTGAGGATCTCATCATCCCAGCTGTCTTCTTTGTCTGTAAATTAAAGGGCACGAACATGATCTAGAACATGGAAAGCCAAACTTTTTACAGGATCTGGCAAATGCTCTACCACTGGGTGGCATCTCCAGACTGAGGGAAAGCAGATGAATGAGTGGAGGCCAATCAAAGAGCAGCTACAGAAAGCAGCACAGTGTTAGACCACCTATGGGTAAGATATCTCATGACACAGCTGTCTCTGTGACAGAGAGTTCAGAATGTGTGTTCTGAAGGGAAGCTTTTGTTAAAGATGTGGTTTGAGCTGAATACAGTGGCTCCCACCTTTAAGCCCAGCACTTGGGTAGAGAATTATTATGAATTTGAAGCTAGTCTAGAGTAATACACTGTCTCAAAAGAGAGGAAAAAACTGGGTACAGTAGGACACACCTTTAATCTCAACACGTGACAGGCAGAAGCAAGCAGATTCCTGTGAGTTCATGGCCACCCTGGTCTACACAGTGAGTTCCAGGCCAGCCAGGAACTATATAGAGAAACCCTATCTCAAAAAACAAACCAAACTACCCCCCCCCAAAAAAAAAACGGGATGTGGGGGAGACAGAGAGAGAACAGCAACCTTGCAGCCGGTACAGACTCCCCCTCCCTCCTCCAGGCGTCCTCACCCTCTGGCTTCTGATACTTCTTGTCTAGCTTGAACTCTCTGTGCTCCCCAGCGCCTGGACGAGCAAGGAACTTGGCAGCTGTGCCTCGTCCCAGCAGTTCATCCAGCTTCGAGCGAGCAGGAAGGGGCCCTTCCCTGTGGGACAGGTATGGAAGGACCGTGCCATGACATGGGGCTCCCATGTTGCTGTAACCTTTGAGCTTTTCCCTGGCCAGGGACTCCCTACTTCATAACGATTCTTACTGGTCTCCGGTCTTCTTCCTCTCTGCTTTGGGGCTGTCTTCAAAACCCAGGGTGGTCATGATGTCGTCCCCTTCGTCAAACAGCAATTCTTTCTTCCGGATAGGAGTATCCCCAGGAGTTAGAGGAACAGAAGGACCTAAGAAAGAAAAGCAGGGCCCAATGCTTGGTGACTGAACAGAGTAGGGGGAAGACAACCATTTGCACTTGTCTGGTTTTTTCAGGGACCCTGACTCTAACCCCACCCCAGATTACACATTCACCTCCCTAGTCCTAGAGCCTGCCCTGCCGAGGTCTGGGCTCTGTACTAGAAAGCTGCCTTGACTCTGCCCACCCTGGAACCATAAGTAGGCCTCTCCTACCTTGGCTTGCAGCCATGCTGGGGCTCTTGGAAGCAGGCTTACTCTCCATTATGGGTGGCTTCTTGGCAGTTTCTTCCTCCTCATCAGAGAGAAGTCCCGCCAAGGGGTCTTCAAAGTCTCATGGCCAGAAACAAAGACAAAGGTCAGACTGCTGTCTTTTGCTTAGGTAAGCCGAGCCGGAAGCTGAGGGTAAACAGGCTCTTCAGCATCCACAGTGGGGTCTATGGGGCAGGGTAGGCGCAGAGGGGCTTAAGCAAGGCATAGGGAGTTGAGTGAACCCTGGGACTCCTAGAAATGTCCCTAAGGCATGAATCCATTCATAAAGAAAAAGGGACCTTTTCCTTCACTTTGAAGCCTGGCTTCACAGTCTTTGCGAGTAAGTTCCTCGAACATCCTGGCTACTAGAGCAGTTAGTTCCTAATCGTGACCAGCTCCCTGCTCCTCTGACACACAGAGACTTGGCCTTCAGCAGCAGCATCCAGGCTGCTCTCAAGCAAAGCAGTCCAGAAAAGGGGACATGCAGTGGGGGAGACGAGACTCTGATACCTTCAAAGGAAAACTTCTTGTACTGAAGCCCAAAGTTGCTGGAAGGGAGAGGTGGCTTCTTAGTGGCAATGGTGTCCCCTACAGGAAGAAGAGAGAAGGCAGTCTTAGAACTGAGTCTTTCCTGCCCAAGGTTTTCCCTGTATTTGAGCACCAGGGACAGCGGGCACTTTGTTCTGACAAACTGAGGTTCTTGGCTGTAAGCACAGCCATAGAGCAATCCATACACCCGCTTCTCACCTGGACCTCTGGGAGGGAGACATGATTGGAAGGTACTCCCACCCCTCACCACCAATCGCTGGCTCGGGGGATTCCCAAGCCGCGCCACACTTCTCCCTTTTGCAGTGTGAGTAAACCCCAGGAAGCCATGCAGGGGCAAGTGCTCTATCACTAGGCCATACCCCAGCCCAGACTTTTCATGTTAGATAAAAATGATCCTCTAGCAGCTGTAAAAGAGCTGTGCTAGATAGTTTTAGTCAACCTGACTCAAGCTAAAGTTATCTGAGAGGGAACTTCAATTAAGAAAATGCTTCCATAAGGTTTAGTTGCAGGCAAGCCTGTAGAGCAGTGTCCTCAACCATCCTAATCCTGCAACCCTTTATATAGTTCCTCGTGTTGTGGTGACCCCCGACCACAACATTATTTCATTGCTACTTCACAACTGTAATTTTGCTACTGTTATCAACTGGATGTCTGACGTGCGACCCCTGTGAAAGACTCGTTTGACCACCAAAGGGCTCAGGACCCACAGGTTGAGACCCACTGTTACAGAGCATTTTTTAAATTAGTGATTGATGGGGGAGGATCCAGCCCACAGTGGGTGGTGCCATCCCTGGACTGGTGGTCCTGGGTTCTATAAGAAAGCGGCTGAGCAAGCCATGAGGAGTGAGCCAGTAAGCAGCACCCCTATGTGGACTCTGCATCAGCTCCTGCCTCCAGGATCCTTCCCTGTTGGAGTTTCTTCCTGACTTCTTTTGAGATGAACAGTGTTGTGGAAGTGTGAGCCAAGTACACCCTTCCCTCCCCAAGCTGCTTTGGTCATGGTGAAGCTTCACAGCAATAGTCACCCAGAAACAAGAACGGATCAGACCTTTTCCCCACATAAACACACACAGTTGGCTGCTTGGCCTCTTCATCCTAGGCACATTGGTGGTCTGAACGACAATGGCTCCCAGAAGCTCATATATCTGAATGCTTAGTAATCAGAGAGTGGAACTGTTTGGAAGGATTACAAAGATTAGGAGGTGATGTGGGATTCCCCTCTGTGCTGTGAATACCACTGGTTAATAAAGAAGCTGCTTTGGGCCTATTGCAGTGCAGAATAGGGCAAGGTGTGAATCTAAGCAGATAGAGGAGGAGAAAGTAGGCGGAGTCAGGGAGAAGGAAACAGATGCTGGACACTGGATGGAACCTTACTGGTAGGCCACAACCACACGGCAATATACAGATTAGAAAAAAAAAAAGTCTGAACCAGACCCAGTCAGTGTCTCTCTTTCTCTGTCTGTGGGTCAGGATGGTAGCTCTTAGCTACTTCGCCAGCACCATGTGGGCCTCCACACTCCCTGCCATGATGATAATGGACTAACCCTCTGAAACTGTGAGCCAGGCTCTAATTAAATGTTTTCTTTTTAAGAGTTGCCTTGGCTAGCTGGGCGGTGGTGGCGCATGCCTTTAATCCCAGCACTTGGGAGGCAGAAGCAGGCGGATCTCTGTGAGTTCGAGACCAGCCTGGTCTACAGAGCTAGTTCCAGGACAGGCTCCAAAACCACAGAGAAACCCTGTCTAGAAAAAAAAAAAAAAAAAAAAAAAGAGTTGCCTTGGCCATAGTGTCTCTTCAAAGCAATAGAGCACAGAAAACTCACAGGACACAGCGCTAACTTCCGCATACCTTTCTCATTCGCTGTTAATGTGCCAGCAGGCTTGGGATTGCTAGGCACTTCTTTCCCAGAACCCTTTGCAGGTCCTTTGCCAGAGGGTGGATGAGACTTCATCTGACCAAAGAGATCATCGTCCATGCTATCCAGGTCCTAGGACAGTGGGAGAGAAGCCTGATGTCTGGAAGGGGCTATGGTTTAGATGATACGAAAGTCTTGGCTTGGGGAGGTGGTATTAGGAAGTAGGGGCTTTGTAGGAGCCTCTGAGTCATTGGGGGCAGTGTCTTGAAAAGAACTCCAGAACCACATCCATCGTCTTCCTTTGTTGTGCTTCAAATTGTGGCCATGTGACCAATACAGTTCCCTGCTGCCATCTGCCACCCTCACCAGAGGCCAAACCAACTCCTGCTCCCAACCTCATCCCAAAAGAAATGTCCTGGTGACGGAATGCTTTTCTGTGGCAGCACAGAGCTGACTGGCTTGGAGGGTGGAGGACTACAGGCTTGGGCACCCAGGGGAGAGGATCAAAGAAAGAAACCGAGGAAACTGGTGAGAAAGAAAAGAAAATGGAGCCAAAGGCAGGCAGAGTGGGCGGGGTGGGAGCTGGCGCATGAGGCTGCAGTGAGACACAAGTCAACACAGAGAGAAATGGAGACGAAATGCACACAGGGCTGCAAGTCTGCAGCCAAGAGCTCTGCCTTGACCCGGGGACCATGGCAGAACGAGAACAGGGCTGCTGGCTGTGAAAACAGAACAGAGGTGGCTGACGCCCACAACTCTCTGAAGAGTCAGATTTATTTCCAGTTTTATCTGATGAGAGGGAAGAGCTTTTGACAGGGAATCTGGGGAAAAACACAGGAAAGGCAAGGAACAGACTTTAGAGGAAACTTTAACCCTGATCTACTTCCCCGGGTGGTCCCAGCTAGGAAAGTCTGTGGTTCCTACTAGAGGCCTGTGGCAGACTTCCCAGGCTCCAGATGCCCAGGGCTATACAGGAGAAGTTACAGGACTGGAAAGCCCTGGCTTGACCTGCTGGGATCCCACACCTACCCCAGCCTTGAAGGGGGCGAAGCTGTTTGGCTACCTTCATGTTCTGCAAGAAGACCTGCGGGTCTGCATCCGAGACGCTGGAGACCTAGGCCACAGGTGAAGACACAGCGAAACTAGTGTCAGTCAGGGTCCAGCAGGCTTGGGGGTTCCCAGTCCTAATCATCTTGCTTTTACTCAGCAGGGGCAGAGAGCTTAACTGATGAGGCATCAACAGGAGGGTCTCTTGCTCCCCAATCTCCTGGGACCAGCTCTTTGAAGTAAAATCAGCCTGTCTGTGGAGCCCCAGAAGTGTTCTCAGTGTCTATCCCTAACTGCAGAAGCTATTTCCACCACAGGCCTTCAGGAAGACTACTTCCTAATCATGCACCTAGTCAGCTTGGCTGTCATGGGAAGAGGTGATGCCCATTTCTGCAGTTGGGAGCGCTCTGTCATCTAGCTCATTGTTCTGGTAAGGAAGAAATGGATGCTGTTTGGGTCCATTCAGCAGTCTAGGGACATTACTCTAAGAATCAAGTACAAAGCCGGGCGGTGGTGGTGCCTGCCTTTTATCCCAGCACTCGGGAGGCAGAGGTAGGCGGATCTCTGAGTTTAAAGTCAGCCTGGTCTACAAAAACTAGTTCCAGGACAGCCAGGGTTGTTACACAGAGAGACTCTTGTCTCAAAAAACAAACAAACAGAATCAGGTACAAAGCTGGGCATGGTGAAACATGCCTTCATTCCTAGCACCTATAGGCAGAGGCAGGTGGATTTCTATGAGTTCCAGACTGAGGCCAGCCTGGTCTCCAAGGTGAGTTCCAGGTCAACTAGAGCCACATAGTGAAACCCTGTCTCAAAAAATCAAAAAAACGTGTGTATGTGTGTGTGGGGGGGGGGAGTCCAAGTTATAAATGAGTTTGTACATCTGTAATCCCTGATCTTGTTGTTTTGGGCTGAGGCAGAAGGCTTGAGTTGTAGGCTAGCTTGGGTTACACAGAGAAAATCTACCTCAAAATGAAACAAAACAAGCCAACTTTGCAGGAACTTCTAAACTTCTAAATCTTTCTGTGAGGAGCTATTAGGCCACTCCAGTCTCACTTTTTGGGGACAAGCACAAAGGTTAAAGACTGGAGAATGGACCAGGCTCACCTCAGCATCAGCTCCCAGTGGCCCTTCAACACTGTCTTTGGGGAGGGATCTGCAAAGAGATGACATCATCAGCAATCTATATGACTAAGCCATTAGGTGATTTATAAAAGTTAAGACTTGGGTCTGGGGGTGTAACTCAGTGCTACAGCATGTGTTTAGCATGTTCAAGGCCCTGGGGTCAATCCTAGCATCAGGGAATGGAAGGGAGAGGAAATGAGAGAAGGGGAAGGGAGGGGAGGGAGGCAAGCCAGTCAGGTGTAATGGCATACACCTGCTATCCCGCCACTTGGAGGTAGAGGGAGAAGGATTAGGACTTCAGGTCACCCTCAGGTACTCAATTTTAGGCCAATTTATAATACACGAGACCTTGTCTCACAGAGTTGTGGGCAGGCTACAGTGTCAGAGTGAACTTGGGAGAGATTTCTCCGGAGGACAGCAATAGAATAGGAATCTCAAGGCTGGAGAGACGGCTCAGCTGTTAAGAGCACTGGCTGCTCTTCCAGAGGTCCTGAGTTCAATTCCCAGCAATCACATGGTGGCTCACAACCATCTATAGTGAGATCTGATGCCCTCTTCTGTGCATGCAGATAGATAACAAATGAATAAATCTTAAAAAAAAAAAATAGGAATCTCACATATGGCTGTGTGTGGTGGTACATGCCTTTAATCCCAGCACTCAGGAGGCAGAAGCAGGTGGATATCTGTGACTTTGAAGCCAGCCTGGTCTACACAGTGAGTTCTAGGACAGCCAAGGCTACATAAAAAAACCTTGTCTCAAAAATACAAAACAAAACAAAATCCACAGACCACACAGTATAGATCTTTTCTACTTAAATTGTTTTTCTATTTTTTAAAGCAGTGAAGTTCTTTAAATATAAATTGTTAATAAATAAATAAATATTGGGGTGAAGGAAAAATATTGGGGACAAACGAATGGCTTAGTCAGTGAAACACCTGCTCAGTTAGCATCTTAAGCATCCGTGTCCCCAACACCCATGTAAAATACTGGGCAAGGTCTTGTATGTCTGCAACCCTTGTGCTAGGTGGGGAGAAGAGGGGCATGCAAATAAAAGAATCCCTGGAGCTCCCAGTCAACCAGTCCAGCAAACTGTTGAGTGCCAGACACAATGAGAGAGCTTGTCTCAAAAGATAAGGTGGAGAACCACAGTGGAAAATACCCAAAAGACCAGCTCCAGCCTTCATATGCATACATACACATACACACAAAGTTAGTTATAGTTAAAGCTGGGCATAGTAGTACATGTCTGTAATTCCAGTATTTGGAAGGCTGAGGCAGAAGGACTGCTCCAAGTTTGAGACTAGTTCACTATGGGCTACATGGTTAGTACCAAGCCAGTATGATTATATAGCAAGACCCTGTTTTCAAACAAACAAATAAACGAAAAGAAAAAAAGCCAACAAAATCCAAATAATCTTGTCTAAAACAAGAGAAAATCATAATTTTCTTTCTTTGGTCTCCCTCTGCTTTGATTTTTTTGAGACAGGGTTTCTCTGTGTTGCTTTGGAGCCTGTCCTGGAACTCACTTTGTAGACCAGGCTGGCCTCGAACTCAGAGAGATTTAGAGATTTGCTTGTCTCTGCCTCCCGGATGCTGGGATTAAAGGCTTGCGCCACCACTGCCCGGTTCTCTCTCTGCTTTTAAGACAGTGTCTCACTATGTAGTCCTGGTTGGCCTGGAACTTCCATGTAGACCTGACCTCAAACTCACAGGCATCTACCCGTCTCTACCAGGAATAAAGGTGTGCCCCACCCCACCTAGATGGAAAGAAGGCAAAAGGTGGAGTTCTCATTCTCAGGGGTTAAACAAATCTGAAAGGCAGTGATCTGAACCATCCTCTTTCTTCAGGGTTACTGAAACCGAAGCTCAGAGGAGCGTGGGATGACCAGTAACAGATGGAGGACTAGGAGCCAGGCCTTCAGATTCCATCAATACTCAGGGCTGAGGGGAGAAGTACAATCTCCCAACATTAATGGTGCACTGGCCAAGATGGAGCGTAGTGCAGGAAAGGGGCCAACAGGGTCTACCTTGCTTTAGCCTTGGAAGCAGGCCACTGAGGTACACTTGCTGTGTCTCTGGCACGTGAGGCTGGCTCAACAGGCTTCTCAAGCAGTGTTGCTGGAACAAGGAAAACAAGACAGGTCACACCACGCCAATCAGCCACAACCAAGAGGACCGTGATTCCGCCACTTAGCTGCCTGCTGCACCTTCCACAGAAGGGTTGTTGGCATCACAGGCACATCCCGATGCCATCCCTGATAAACATGAGTGGAGCGGGTACATTTCCCAGTAGGAAGTCAATCCCAGATGCCAGGAGTGCCAATGAACAGTTCAACCCACCCACCTGTGCCACAGGAAAAGGCAGAGGCACGATGGGTTTTCCATAATCCTAACGCAGGCTGAAATACATGGTTCTCCCTCAAAACAGAAGTCTTGATCCCCCCTGGTGAGCTCTGCACATCCCCTAAGCCCTGTTCCTCAGTGCAGCGACATGGACACAAATAGTAAGGGGCCATCTGGGCATGATGGCTCATGGTTATAATATTGCACAGGGAAGGCTAAGGGAGGGAATTTCCTCAAGTTTGAAGCCAGCCTGGGCTATATAGTGATACTCCATCTCAAATATAAATAAATAAAAAGCCAGCAAGATGGCTCAGATGAAGATGCTTCCACAGACTAGAAGGAGCTGTCCTCTGATCTCCACACATGTGCAAATGCACAAGCATGCACCACCCTCCAAATCCAAAAAGCAAAAAAATAAACCTAAGAGATTTTTAAAAGAAAGACTCTATAAGGAACCTGGCTGAGAGAAGCAGCTCAGAAGTGTAGGGCCCTGGGTTCCCCTCCCAGCATTACAAAAAAACTTAGAAAAGAACAAAGTGATATGAGGACTCTTACAGCCAGGTGCCTTAACCAAGTGGGCAAAGCACATGAGCAGACACTCCACAGCACTGGGACATACATCCCAGCCGTTCATAGCCGGCCGTCACCAAAAGGATGGGAGAGCTGGGCCTGGTGGCACAGGCTGTGACCACCGCTACTCTGGAAGCAGAAGGGAAAGTTCAGTGGCTCGCTGGGCACCCAGGGAGTTCGAGGCCAGCCCAAGCATCATGCGGAGACCCCGGCACAAAGTACAAAGTAATAAACTGGCTGGGGAAACTGCTCAGTAGAACAGAGGCTGCCTAGCCAGGAACAAAATCAAATGAAAACCGAAGTTGGGAAATAAGCATTGGTGGGTGTGGTCAAAGCAGGAGCCTTTGGTGCTGCTGAGGGAAATTCTCTCCTTCCCCCCTGTGGGTCCCTGGGTGGAACTCAAGTGGTCAGGCTTACGCCCCCCCCACTCTAGTCAGTCTGCACTTACTGTCATCTCCCAGGAGGTCACCAAGAACATCATCAATGGAACCTGAAAGCAAGGAGGCAAGAATGACACTTAGAAACCTGAAGCCCTGAGACTTCCGGGTCCCAGGCTTTGGGCTGAGCCACAGGGCCTTTCTAAAAGCCTGGGGAGAAGTTGAAAGTGACCTTCCCGAAGGTAATTTCTCCTCGAACTGTTTCCACCCACCACACCCACCCCAAACACACAAGCCAGTGACCCGTCCTCCAGCCCCTAGGCCAGGGTGGTTCCCCTCAGCCCCTCCCCGACCTGGAGCTGGACTGACTACACTCTCCCTGGCCACTGTCGGATGGAGGCGTGGTGGGGACATCTAGGTAAGCACAGTTGAATTAATTCTCCTACCCAGCTGTATTTACCTTCCCCACCCTGAACGTCCACCAAATATCCCCGAATTCAGAGCTCAGTGAGAAATTGTGTTTTTCTACGACTACATGTATTTGTTTTTTAAAACTGCTCAACAGTAGAGGCCACCCTACGGTTTTCATGAGCAAAGGCTGCTCTCGCCACCCCTCTGTCTAGGAGGAGAGTGTCAGCAAAGTCTTCGTCCTCCAGTCTTTTTAGTTTTTAATGAGACACCATCTCTCTCTACATAGCTCTGGCTGTCCTGGAACTGTGTAGACCAGGCTGGCGTTGAACTCACAGAGATCAACCTGCCTCTGTCATCTGAGTGCTGGGGTTAAAGTAGTGCACCAACACACCTTGTTTTTTTTTTTTGTTTGTTTGTTTTGTTTTTTAAAATTAGAACAGGAATGTGTGTAGCGACATCTGTGGAGGTCAGAAGACAACTTGTAGGACTCAGGTTATTGGGCCTGGCATGAGATCCTTTGCCTGCTGAGCCTCCTCACTAACTTTTTCTTGGTTAAAAAAAAAAAAATAGGGTCTCAACCAGGCTGTGGTGGCACAACCCTTAAATCCCAGCACTCAGGCAGAGGCAGGCAGGCGGATCTCTGTGTTTCAGACCAGCCTTAAACCAAAAAGAAAAAAAAAAAAAAGGAGAGGTGTATTTGGATTAAGGGGGATGTTCCATGTCTCCACTTACCTTTCAGTCCTTTCTTGGTTTTCAGTGCCTAAAATGGGGGGGGGGGGGTAGATCACATCAACAAAATGCAGCAGTGAGCATGTGTTGGCACTGGACAGGAAGAACACTCTGCCTTCTCCAGGCCCCGGGGAAGGAGCACCAGGCATCACGGATAAGTCAGTTTTCCTCCAGCTTCTGAGAATGAAGCACTCAAGAGGCCAGAGACACAGTCCTTCCTAGCCAGCAAAGCCAGGTGCAGACAAACACCTCTCTTCAGATTACAGATATTACACACAAAACCACCAGACATATGCAGTCACAACCAGAACGTCTTCTTCTGTTCTGTGTCCAGTGAGGGTTTAAAGATGCTTCCAGCAGGAAATGCAGAGGACTCAGAGCTCGAGAGATGGGCTGGTGTGGCTCACCTTCAATCCCAGCACTCAGGCGGGGTGTGTGTGTGTGCAGAGGCTGGTGGATCTCTGAGTTCCAGGCCAGACTGATCTTTTACATAGCACTTCTAGGCCAGCCAGAGCAATAGGGAGGCCTTGCCTCAACAAAACCAAAGAAAAACTACAAAAACAGAGGCTAAAGGAAAACTCTGCTCACTGATTAATTTCTTTTTGGGAGTGGGGAGGCAGGGCTGGGAAGGGTCTCACTGTGTAGCCCTGACTGGCCCGGAGTTCGCTATGTCAAACAGGCTGAACTAGAATCCACAGAGATCCACCTGCTTCTGCCTTGACCTCCAAGTGGGATAAAAGGCTCAACTCAATGCTTAAGTTCTTTCTAATGCTACTCTACCATGGAGACCATCTCCTAGAATGGTCAGAGGTTCAGGGTGCAAAGGTGGGGTAGGGTGGGGGTTTATATTTCCACGCCTACCATCTGGGACTTGGGGGCTTTCTGCAGCTCCTTCACAATAGTGTCCGGTCATGTGCACTCTTGCTGAGCAAGTTCATCCTCCCTAGCAGAGAAAATTAAAGTAGCTGCTTACAAGAGTTGTGGCTGGAGCTGGAGGGAGGGTTCGGGAACTGAGAGCACAAACTGTTCTTGCAGAAGACCTGAGTTGGGTTGCCAGTACCTGTGCTGAACAGCTCACAACCTCCTGTAACTCCAGCTCCAGGTGGCCTCCATGGGCACCTGCACCCACACATACTTATACACACAATCGTATAATTAAATAGAAAATATATTTTTTAAAATATGTAGTTTAGCTGGACATGGTGACAATCCTGAAATACTTGGGAAAGGGAGGCAGAAAAAAAATCAGGCACTCAAGGTCTTCCTCAGCTACACAGCAAATTCAAGACCAGCCTGGGCTATGCAAGTCTCAAGAACAAACAAACATACAAAAAACCAAAATAATAAATAAATAAAATACAGCATTTACCAGTGCTTGACTCCAAGGTTGCTAAGGACCCTCTCACTTAGGAGGAAACCTCTTAAGTGGTGGTGTACACCTTTGATCACAGCATGCGGGGACAGAGGCAGGCGGATCACTTGTGAGTTCAAGGCCAGCCTAGTCTACAGAGAGAGTTCCAGGACAGCCAGGAATAGGTCTGTGGGTAAAGGTGTTTCTGCCACCATGCCTGACTATGCAAGCTGGATCCTTAGGACACATATGACGGAGGGAGAAAATGGACTCCTGCCAATTCTCCTTTTACCTCCATGTAAATCTGTGTCCTGCCCCGCAAACAGATAAGTGCAATTAAAAAAAAATTCCAGAGCTGAGTATGGTAATACATACTTAGCTTCAATACCAGAACTTGGGAAGCGGCAGGAAGAGCTATGTAACAAGACTTTGTCAAGAAAGAAAAAGCTAGGGGGCTGAAGAGAAGCCTCAGCCATTAGGAGCACTTGTTGCTCTTTCAGAGAAGCTGGGTTGGATTCCCATGACCCACGTGGTGGCTCACAACCTGTTATTCCCATGGGGGGCAGGAGGGACAAAGGGATCTGACACCCTCTTCTAACCTTCATGCATATGGCACACAGATATACATGCAGACAAAACACCCCTACACAGAAAATAAAGATGCATTTAAAAAAAAAAAAAGGTTAGGTATAGTGGCTCATACTTGTAATCCCAGCACTTAGGGGGCTGGAGCAGGACTGGTATGAGTTGGGCCAGCTTTGATCATATAGTGAATTCTTGGGGCTAGGGTGAGTGCCTGTCTCAAGAAAGATTGTGTGTGTGTGTGTGTGTGTGGGGGGGGGAGAGAGAGAGAGAGAGAGAGAGAGAGAGAGAGACAGAGAGAGAGAGAGAGAGAGAGAGAGAGAGAGAGAGAGAGAGAGAGATTTGGAGACTTCTTGGAAAAAGCAGTCCACGCATCCTTTACCCTGGGAGAGGATGCTGAAATGGCAAAGAACCACGTGGAAAGGTAACTACATCCTGGCCCGGTCTACCAAAAAACTCTCCCGACTATTTGTGGGCAGCATCCAGCAGGAAGTGTGAGTGAGCTCTGGGAACGGATTTTTCTAACATCCCCTCCCTTTCTCCCCTGCTCCGCTTCACCCAGACCCACCTTCGCAGGCCTAGGAAGAAAACCGGCTGCGGCGCTCATCTGTCTTCCTGGTGTGCCTAGCCTCTTATTAAAATGCAAAGTGTATCTGGGGTTGTGGACACTGGGGAATGCTTGTGTTTCTCCCGCGCAAAAGCAACTTTAGCGACCTGCAAGTCCAGATGTGTTTTGACTCCTAACACATCAAGGAATTTCTGCTATCTCCTATGCATCCCGTCGCCGCTTCCCAAAGGTGGGGCATTTTCTAGGAGCGGCTTGGAAAGGCCAGAGGGTCTTCACACCTATTCAACCAACTCCTTGAGGACATTTTAAGGGCCGCGAGCCCGCCCCTCAGCCCCAGCGGTTCGGTTCCGGGCTACAGCGTCGCGCCAGGCGAGGCATGGTGCCGCTCAACGTTCCATCCCCCGCGCGCCCACCCCGCGCTTCTCCCAGTTTCCGAGGGCCCTGTTACGAGCCGTCCTTTCAGAAACACGGCCACGGAAACCCAGCCCAACCAGCGTCCCGGATTCCGACTCCACTCAGTCCGTCCGTTTCCGCCTGGCCTACCACCACTGCGCGGGCGACGTTCCCACCTCACCGCCTCTGGCCTCAACTAGATGGCGGCGTGAAGCAGTCTAGGAACTGTAGTCCGTGGCCCGCTCACTTGCGGGCCGAACCACAGGAGGTGCCGGAAAGAACTACATTTCCCAGTGTGCCCCGCGATAGGGCACTTCTCCGGCCAGGGAGTCTGTTGGATGCTCTTCTAGTTGCTAGGAGCTTTCTCAACCCGGTACGCTGAGAAGCAGGGAGAGCATACTCGTATCGGATACAGTCCGGCTCCTTCCGCTCTGAGGGCTGATTGATGACCGTAAGATTCTTAGTCAATGATAAGGTCGAAAGTGCCCTATTAAAAATCCCGAAGCCATCAACAAATACGCGGTGGATGCGCCTCACCCGGAATCACAGCATTTGGAAAGCCTAGACTGGACTAAGACTGCAAATTTCCTAAGTCAAAATCAGCTGTAGCAAAGATTTGAGACCAGCTGCATAATAGTGTGCTACATAATAGTGTCTCAGAACTACACTTTGCATATTTTCTTGGCTGTACGTATAGATTTTTTAAAAGGCAGGTTCTCACTGTGAGTAGCATTATCTGTCGTGGAACTCACTATGTAAACCAGAGATCCCCATACTTGGGCCTCTCAAGAGGTGGGACTAAAGGCTGAGCTACCATGCCCATCCCACTACAGATTTAAATGTGAGGTTTTGGGGGCTGGAGAGATGGCTCAGTGGTTAAGAGCATTGCTGCTCTTCCAAAGGTCCTGAGTTCAATTCCCAGCAACCACATGGTGGCTCACAACCATCTGTAATAAAGTTTGGTGCCCATTTCTGGCCTGCAGACATACACACAGACAGAACACTGTATAATAAATAAATAAATAAATAAATAAATATTAAAAAAAAAGAACTCTAAATCTAATCCATCTTTTTAATTTTTTTTCCTGACCATTATCCCTAGTAACTTGTAAACAACACTCTAAACAAAGACAAACATCCATAATCCATTTTGTGGGAGTGTGGGCATAATTTTCTAGGCTACTTCCTGCTGATTGGGGCATGGATAATCTTATAGGGACCTAAAAAAAATTTAGGATCATGGTCAAGTCCTAACTGGAATACTCTATGAGACTTGATCATCTTAGCCAGCAGTTTTGAAACTGTTCTAGATGTAGGATTCAGAGGAAACCAACAGAGACCCTCTGAAATGTTGGATCATCTGGACCATTTGCTCCTACCAGAGATTTCTTAGAGGGTCTTCCTTGATCAAACCTGATTTTTCTTAATTCAGAATGAATCCACAGCCTCTCATTTCCTGTGCAAAATCTCTTCTCCAAAGTAACATATCTTTTGACTTACATTTTGAAGTCAAGGCATTGATTAATCCAGCAGCATTTATAATCAAATGTCTTATCAGCTGCTGGTCCTCCCTCAGCAGTCAAACAATTCAAATACAACACAGTAACATACAGTATNAAAAAAAAAAAAAAAAAAAAAAAAAGATTGGCTACTAGCCAGGCAAAAGTATAGGTGGGGCAATCAGACTTAAGATGCTGGGGGAAAGAAGGGCAGGGTCAGTCACCAACCAGCAGGATGTCTAGAAAATGAGGTAACAAGTCATAAGCCATGTGGCAAAGCATAAGTAGAAATATGGGTTAAAGTGTAAGAGTTAGCTAGTAATAAGCCTGTGCTATCAGCCTCACACATACAATTAATAAAAGTCTCTGTGTGGTAATTTGGAAGCAGCTCCCAGGACAGGAAAATTCTGTCTACTGCCTAGTGTCCTACATCTTGACTTGTGGCCAACAGGAAGTGGTCTGTCTCACTGGATGTGGCTTGAGCATGTATGAGACCTCAAAGCCCACTGTAGATGGAGTTTTTCTATCTAGACCACCTGCTCCCAAATAACTACTCAGAGACTTTATATAAATTATAGATGCTTGGCCAATAGTTCAGGCTTATTACTAACTAGCTCTTACATTTTGAGTTAACCCATATTTCTTATTTATGTTCTGCCATGTGGTGGTACCTTTATTAGCATAGGATGTTCATCTCCTGCTCCTGGCTGGTAACTCCTCTGACTCCACCCTTCTTCATCCCAGCATTCTCTCTGTCTCAGGCTGTCTTGCTTAGTCTCTTCCTACCCAGCTGTCGGCCAATCAGCTTTTTACTAACAATGAGAACAATACATATTTACGGTGTACAAAGACTGAGCCACAGCAGCCCACCTCTACAATGACACACTTCCTCCAACAAGGCCACACCTACTCCAATGCCATACCTTCTAATAGTGCCACTCCCTGCGGACCAAGTGTTCACACGGAGTCTATGGGGGCCATTCCTTTTCGAACAATGTGTATTCCTGTGTATGTTTGATGGGGTGTGTGTGTGTGCACCCACGGAGGTCAGAAGAAGGTTTCTAACTCCCTGGAGTTACAGGTAGTTGTGGGAACTCCAGCATGAATACTGGTGATTAATTTGGGTCCTCTGGATAGACAGTTGGCTCAGTGGTTAAGTTTGAAAGACTCTAGTTCAAATTCCAGCATGCACATACCTCCTCAGGCACCAAGGAATGTGATGTACAGACACATATCTAGGCAAAATACTCATACACATAAAATAATATTAAAAAAATCTAAAAAATATAAACTTGGATTCTCTGCAAGATTAGTTTCTACTTTTTTACACAGAGACAGGTTTTCTCTGTGTAACAGTTCTGGCTGTCCTGGAACTTGCTTTGTAGACCAGGCTGACCTCAAACTCACAAAGATCCACCTGCCTCTGCCTCCCAAGTGCTGGGATTAAAGGTGTGCACCACCACTGCCCAGCAAATCTCATGTGTCTATGTTTAGATCAAACTCACCCCCCACTCTACGCCCCCCAACTCCTCCTATATCCCCTCCCCCAGCCTGTTGCCTCCCAACTTCATGTGCTCTTTTATGAAGCCTTCAGTATGTACAGGGGTACAGTGCCATGCACATGGGTACCCTGGAGCATGGACCGTCCATGGGGGAAGAATTCCTGAATAAAACAGACACTTCCTCCCCCATCAGCCATCAGCTGCTAAAAGCTCCTCAGCTAGAGGTGCACATAAGCCTCTCCCCATCCATGTTGAAAGCTTGGCCGGTTTGATAGTGCGAGAACAGTACAGCCACTGTGAGTTGTGTTTGGAAGACACTGTCTTGCAGCAATCCCGCACTACCTCTACCGCACTTGACCATGATCCCTGAGGCTTGGCGGGTGTGTGTGTGATATAGATGTCCCCTTTAGGACTGAGCACTGCCATAGTGTCTTATGGGCTGCATATGGATCTCTGTATTAATGGCCATCTACTGCAAAAAGATGCTTCTAGTGAAGTCAATCCAAATTTATTTATTGATAAATTAATTTTTTGAGACAGGTTTTTTTTTAATTTATTTATTATGTATACAATATTTTGTTTGCGTGTATGCCTGCAGGCCAGAAGAGGGCACCAGACCTCATTACAGATGGTTGTGAGCCACCATGTGGTTGCTGGGAATTGAACTCAGGACCTTTGGAAGAGCAGGCAATCTCTTAACCACTGAGCCATCTCTCCAGCCCCGAGACAGGGTTTTTCTGTGGTTTTGGAGCCTGTCCTGGAACTAGCTCTTGTAGACCAGGCTGATCTCGAACTCACAGAGATCCGCCTGCCTCTGCCTCCCAAGTGCTGGGATTACAGGTTTAGCTGTCCTGGAACTAGCTCTGTAGACTAGAACTCAAGAGATCCTTCTGCTTCTGCCTCTCAAGTACTGGGATTAAAAGTGTGCACCACCACTACCCAACAACCAGAATTTAAATGGTTAAAGCAAAATGAAACCAAACCACACTAGAATCTAGGAATTTGCAACCATTAAAAAATTATTCATAAAACGCTAGTTAAAAAAAAACAAACTAAAAACAGGGTTTGTTGTATTTTTACCATTACAGACCACAGGAATGTTTTTTAAAAATTCAGTAAGCTGGGTTGGAGAGATGATTCAGAGGTTAGGAACACTGGCTGCTATCCAGAGGTCTGGATAGAGTTCAATTGGCAGCTACCACAGGGTGGCTCACAACCATCTGTAGTGAGATCTAGTGCCCTCTTCTGTACAAAGGCATACATGCAGATAGAGCACTCATGTAAATAAATACATAAATAAATTTTTAAAAGCTGCAGTAAACTTCCAGGCAGCGGTGGCACACACCTTTAATCCCAGCACTCAGGAGCAGAGGCAGGCAGATCTCTGATTCGAGGCTAGCGAGCTACCTATTCTCAAAACCCTGTCTCAAAAAGCAAGGCCAGGCGGTGGGGTGGTGGCACACTCCCTTAATCCCAGCACGTGGAAAGCAGAGGGAGGTGAATCTCTGTGAGTTCAAGGCCAGCCTGGTCTACAGCACAAGTTCCAGAACAGGCTCCAAAACTACACAGGGAAACTCTGTCTTTACATTTGCACGTGTGTTCTAGTTGTCCACATACTGCAGCATGTGTGTCTAGATGTGTGGAGGACAGAGGAAACCTTCCTAGAATCAGTTCTCTCCACAACACTAACAAAAAAATCAACCCACCTGTAGAGAGGCAGGCTGAATCAAGGCTTTTAAGGCCCTGGTGAGAGGACAAAGGATTGCTAGAAGATTGTTAGTTCTGTGTTCTCGCCCAGGGCCCGACTTGGCAAGGACTTGGCTGGGACTGAGGGCAGGGCCTTGAAGGATTAAGGTTTCAGTTTGTGGGTCCCTGACTTTTCCCTGACTGAGTTATCAGTCAGAAGACTGCTGTGTGCTTGGTCTGTGGTGTGCTCCTGGGCTCCCTTTGTTCAGGACAACTTGCTGAGCTTCCTGCTGATGTCATCCCACTGTGTGGTTCCTTTCTGCTGACTGGTTCATTTTTCTTCTGCAAACTTCCATAAGATGCTGTACATACAGACACAGACACACACACACACAACTTCTACGTGCATTGGTGTTTTGCTTGCATGTATGTCTGCGTGAGGGTGTTGGATTCTGGAGCTACACACAGCTGTGAGTTGGGTGCTGGGAATTGAACCGGGGCCCTCTGGAAGAGTAGCCAGTACTTTTAACTGCTGAGCCATCTGTCCTGCCTGATACTG